ATATATGTGTGTGTGTGTGTGTGTGTGTGTAATATGATTTACATTAACATTAATTGAGACAGTACATGAACTGTGAAGAATATCATTGATGTCACATTTTATAAGAAATGACACCCTAATACTCTTATGTATCCTTATGGCGCTATGATTCTCATGTCATTTACCTGGCAGTTAAGCAATCATAAGCTACCTCATCACTGTGCATTGATAACATACATACTGTATCACACAGCATAGTGTTACGTCCTGAATAAAAATAGCAAAACTCATCCACTCACAAGAATATCACAGAGCAAAAACTAGTATGGTTAGAGTAATTATGTAATGCGATGTATGTTATAGTGTATGAAAAAATTAAAATAAATTACTGGCTTACAATGTAATAGATTCTGGAGTAACGAAGTTCAGCAATAAAAATATATTCTACTCTTGTTCAAATTTACACAGATTATTCTCAGGTTCTTTCATTCACATTCGAATATTTACAATTTCCTCATTTCAAGATTTAACGAACCATTCTAGATGAAAATTGTATAGAAGCTTGTAAACACGAGAATCGCCACAGTACAGTCTCTTTAAGAGCACAAAAGGAGCAGATTGCCATTTGTTCTTACCATAGCCAGGAAATCATGTGTGCCTTTCAGTACTAATGATGACTATGAACATTCTACCGTAACATTTGGGTAACATTTAGCCGGAAAATAAACATTCTACACGGGACAGGGAAGAAATTACGTGCAGAAACATCGTGCATGAAAGCTGAAATAAAGTGAAGAAAGTCTGTGAGCGAGAGAGAAAGAAAGAGAGATAGAGAAAGAAACAAAGAAAGAAGTAAGGGCGGTGTCGCCCCAGAAGAAGAATTAACGACGCAAAATTAAGCCCAGTGTGGCCTAGTGCACTGGTGTGACGATCGTCGACCGACTGAGCTGGAAAATTAAGATCTTGAGTCGTAAACTTTCCAACGATAATACGAAATACGCACCGTTAAGTCATTCTAACCTCGAACGTTCCAAGCAGTAAAAACTTAATATCTCATTAGAGAAAAGAGTCGAGTCGTATTTCACACTCAAGGGTAAGGAAAAAATCCGCATTATGATTCTCTCGCCACATTTCATCTGTCCATTTCAGGTCAATTGTTTGCTTTTTCGCAAGAAGGTCGAATAGGGAGGTTTGTTTTTTAAATGTTGGGAGGGGAGACAAAATTACGCACTTTTGACACTAATTGTTTTAAAACATCATTTCATAAGATCGCAATTTTCGAAAACTGCTCAAATTACCTTATGAGCTCACATCGAGCCTAGAAATAAGTTATTAAAAATTTTGCAATGTTCCATCTCTAAATCAAACGAAGAAAAATCAATTAAAACATCGAGAGAAACGTTCCACATTCATATTCACTTGGGTTTTAATGAACGAGAGTTTCATAATACAGATGATGCCAGTTATTGTGAACTTCTGGGGACTAATACTGAGTTCACCACATTCGATTCAATAAAATTAAATATAGTTTATGCACAATTATTGATTTTATTAATATAGAGATACAATAAAATATATTAACATCATGAAATAAAAATTTCAAACATATATTTGTCTTTAAAAATAAATTATTTTCAATTGTTTGCTTCGTAAATAATATGACCATTCATAATTTCTCTAAACCTTTCCCCAAAGTTCGTGCTCTCTCCATGCTGATTTGGCATTGTCCACTGCATCTGAGTATCGCAATGCAATCTCGACACCCTTCAATTCTTCTTCCGCTGTTGGACCACCGTCCCATTCTGCTAAGGCTTTTTCACTTGCCTAATAACATGCGAGATGCTACCGGTAGCGGCTAATGGAACTGATCGCATTTCCGTGCGGCGCGGGGGAAGTCTCCAGACCGAGGGGCTGTGGTAGTCCACCAGCATTGAACACAACCTGCTTGTCTCGCGGAGTATCAAGTAGCGCCACCCTTGCAACTGCTGGCAGCAATCGCGCGTCGCCGACGGTAGTTGTAACCAACTTTGTTTCCGCAGTGAAACTGAGCGCGGCTTCAGGTCATCTTAAGGCAAGAACACCAAGCCAGGTCTGCTGCCCTCACCTCTGGGGATACTTCCTCGATTATGACCTGTGGTCGACGATATTGTTTCCAAGCTGCCTGGTGTTACAATTTGTCGCACTAAAGCGATATATTCTTTTCCAGGAGGGTATTAATTTCAGGACGTTGTAATTCCTAAGTACACAATAGCCGAGATTCAGGTTCACTATAACCGAATCTCCTTACACCTATTTGTAATGTAAGTCCGTGATCAGTGACTTAAGTTCACTAATACCAAGGGTTCACTACATTCGAGTGAGTACACTGAAACAGGAGTCGACTGTAGAAAGTGTAAGTGCATAGACGAGTATAACACTTCACGAGTTTTTGATAATTTTATTTTGGTGTAATACATTTTCAAATTATTACTCTGAACCTCGAAAACTAGGACAAATTTGATAAAAGAATGACTAATGGACAAAATTAGTATACTGTATATCTAGCTCCATTTTATACATAACTTACGAGGTACTAAAAGGCTTATCAGTATACGTCTTACTACTCTAAGAAAGTGCGAGAAATACTACTGGAAAAATTGATTAAAATATAAATAAGAGCTTCTTTGTATTCTATCTTAGGTCCCAAAATAGAAAAAATGTCGAGGCCAAAATTGCGCAGGAGGCATTGTACGAGCAGCTGTCCGCTTGAATGCGACGAAGTGGCAGAGGCCGGCTTACGGCGAGTGGCGCGCAGAGGACAGGGCGGGGCCAAAGAGAAGCTGCGAGGGCAGCTGGGCGAAGCCGCATGACGCTCTTTGGGAGGCGCTGACGTGGAAGCGGCCAACGGCGCAAGCGGGGGAGGCCGCTTCAGCCACTCCTCCGCCCCGAACGGCGCGTGCAATCCGCTTAGCTCCGGGGGCGACGAGGACGCAGGGCGGAGGTCCAGATGGCCCCACGGCGAGGAGGCAGGTACACCTTTCACCGCCACTCCCCGCGCCACGCCCCTTCGCTCCGGGCGTGTGTGCTGAAGACGGCGCGGCGGCCTCGTCTTCCCTGCCACCGCCTCTGTCTTGGTGCACGTTTCCTCGACCAGCTGTATCGGCTTCCGATGCCAAGAGTGTTTTCAGACCCCTGATTTCGTTTTCCATCAGCGGTGAGGCAGGATTGCCAACCCTCCCCCCTCCCCGCGGACCCAGGTTGCTAGATGTATCACGTTGCGATGTGGGGAAAGGTAAGATATGCCGTGGAATGAAACATTCGTTCCACAGAGTAAATTACACGACCACGAGAGCTCGAAGAACAAAAACGAGAAACTTAATATTTTCTGACGATCTTTTCCGCTGGAGTCAGAACCTCTGCTACCTTCTACTTTTAACGGAAAGTAAAAATAAAGAGAATTAGAGAATAAGAAGAGAGCAAGAAAGCGGTTTTCTCAACCAAGTTTAGCAGACCATTAAGCAAAGAGAAATGTTATAGCAAATGGTGAAAATAGAGAAATAGTAAATGTGAATGAGATGCAAGAAGCGCTGTTCAAAGATAAAGCACTCGGATCCGTAAAGAAATGTACTATAGATTGATTTCACTTTGCTTACACTGATTTGTTTTAAGTATTTTAATAATGACGAAAAATACTTGTGCTTCATGCCCGAATTAACTTTTAACATAGAATACAAAGGAATCTTTTTAACTCGTGAACGTCGACAAGTTTTTATGAAGAAACTGTAATTGTTTGTTAATCACTGTCACTTGATATTTAGAATTGAAACCAGAAGAAAATAGAAACTGAATTAATGCAGGACAAAAGTTTGAATGCTATTTTTCCATTTACGTGAGGTAGTAATATTCAGACCATTTCACTACATTATAATGCAATGCACCTATCATACAGTTCTACAAAAATTTAAACATCACACACATTAAATTACATCTTTTCACACATACATGCAACATTTGAATCGCACACAAAGTATTAAGATAATGCAAAAATATATGTTTAAAATATGTAAAACTAGATCACAATTACATACATTTCTATCATACTATTGCTTATAGCTAAGAAGGCTTCAGAAATATGTTTTTTTTATCTCTTCAGAAACTACATTTTGTCCACTAGAGCTACGTAAGTCATAATTTACTTCGCTGTTTTGGGGATGTTAAAAACGACTTTATTCTCTAGTGAATTAAAAAATCAATGTGAATGTTATTTTCTTGCAAATGAAATTTACTTATATAGCATAAGGGGTCATTGATTCGTCTCCTTGACATAAATTTCATTAATACAGCGAAAGACGTGATCTGATTGAGCTTGTAT